GAATGTTGAAATACAATAGAATATCAGTCACTTAGTATTCATAATGTTTCTGTTATACATGATCATCATGTATTACATGCGCTTTCAGAAACTTTAAGTTTGTTTTCAAATGTCTAAAGTCTTATTACTAAAGTTACCGGTATTTTCAAAGTCAAAGGCCGGCACAACTTGTTGAAACACTTATATATATAAATAAATATATAAAGTGTATTTAATATAATATTTAAACATATATTTAAATTGTTTCAATTGCTACAAAATATTTTAAAACTAAAATGGGAGGAAAAAAACTCGATCCCCTACTGAGAATTGATCTCAAACTATATTATCGCCAAGCGTCCACTCTACCACTTGACCACACAAGATCCTCTCCAACAAGTATATCTTAAAACCAGGCCAATGGTAAATTTTTTGCCGCGGTGTACCCAGGCCAAAGCCCACGATTTCACTAGGTACACCGCCGCGGTTTACGCGGGCCAAAGCCGATGGTTTCGCTAGGTACACCGCCGCGGTGTACGCATCCACTTCGTTAATAATATTAGCTCTCCTTGTTAAAATTGATAGGACAACCAACAGCAGTGACATAACAAATTTTTAAATTTCATTTTTTTGTTGCTCCATAAAATTTATTTTGATTGCAGTTGAGCTGTACCATAATTTTTAATTGTTTTGAATTTTTTAGACCTAAAAAGTACCTAAATAATTACTAATTAAAGCAGTATATTTATTATTACTACTTCTTCAAGTAACAAGTGAGTCTACAACTAGCTATTGTACTTACTAAGTGATTTAAACTAACGAAACAAGTAGGCTATAATTTATGAGACTAATAGTAGTAAATACTGGAGTAATGGCAGTAACGCTCACTAACACTTAAATTTAAATCAAAATCCTAGCTGCAGCAAACTCAAACTTTCTTATTTTCCTTGGCCTTGGTTAGCTTGCGCATCTCTAAAATAGGCCACTTTTAAGTGTCAATGAAACATGTAAGATGTGTCAGAAATGCCAAAACTTTTTTAACTTCAAATTGAATATTCGTTACTTACCTTTTTTATGATGAATAACAAACTGATATAAATGGTGCCTATGTATTTCCCTTTTAACTCTCAGAAATTTGTTGATGCTCAGGGAGCGGAAATCAAACAAGATTTGAGCCAGATTTATTCTTTTAAAAATATAACAGAAGGCCAGGTAAGAATATTAAATTTAATTAAACTGTTTCCTATTCCATCATAAATTTAAAACATAATATTCTTTTTACCTTGAAAATCTTTAATATGTGCTTATAAATAAATCAAACACAGTTTCTTAATTTATCTTTAAAAAATACTTATTTACTTATACATTAAATTTATATACCAAATATAACTAACTCAAATTTTCCTTTATTATTCTGCTTTTAGTCCAAAAGAATTTTATTAAAATATACGTTTGAATTTTCTTAAAATAATTGTATGATATTTAAATTCAATTCACCTCATTTTATATATTCATTTATGTCAAAATGTCATAAAATACTTGAGTATTTCCTTACTTACTTTTTCATACCTGGCAAGTTTCTATTCCTTTGGTTTCCGGTTATGTCGTTCAGCATACACCAAAACTTGTAATTACAATTTGTTTTCCATATAAAATGCCTATTTCAAGTGATAAAGACATCTTTAATCCAGATATATTTTTTGTAAGTATATTTTTAAAACATTAGCTTATTTATAAACATATGCGTCTTGACTAAACTAAATACTGTAATAAAACAGTTTTTTTTAGTAAACTTTAACTTATTAATACCATAATCATAATTATATAATACTAATAATTCAAATTCTAGTTCTAATACTCTTAAATACAGTGGAACCTCTCATAACGAGCACCTCTCATAATGAGTAATTCGCATAACGAGCAAAAAAAATGAAGAAGTTGCTCCCTTAACGGAGGTACATTTCGCATAACGAGTTACGCTGAAAGGGGAAGTCCCTTTTTCCGAACATTCATTTGTGAGCCGGGAAATCTGCGCCGATGCATTAGTCTGTGTTTAGCACTCGTTCTGTTAGCGTATTGTTTTCGTGTGTGATCACCAGTTTTTACAAATTTTGTATTCAGACAGTATTTGTAATTTTTTTATGTGCAAAGTGTACTAACCTGTGCTAAAATGTCAATGAAGAAAAAACCACATGAAGAAAATCATAAGATAGAAAAAATAACTGTTGAAATGAGACGTAAAATCATTGAAAAGCGAGAACAAGGTGTGAGCATGACTAATCTAGCGCCCACATACAATCGGTCAACATCAACGATCTGCATTATTCTCAAGAACAAAAACAAAATTAAGGAGATGGATGCTTCAAAGGGAGTGTCAAAAATGTCTACGAAACGGTTACGTATTCTTGATGATGTTGAGAAGTTGCTTCTAATATGGATTAAAGCAAGGATATATATGGATACAATTCAAGGGAAGTCATGGATGGTTCGAGAATTTTAAGAGAAGAACTGTCATCCACAGTGTTGTGAGGCACGGTGAAGCAGCAAGCCCTGGCACAAAAGAAGCAGAGAACTTCATCAGTGACTTCAAGAAGCTCAAAGATCTTGGGGGTTACCTGCCGCAACAAGTTTTTAATTGGGACGAGACGGGTCTCTTCTGGAAAAAAATGTCAAAGCGAAACTATATAACAGCAGAATAGAATGCATTGCCATGCCACAAGCCAATGAAAGACCGCCTCACGCTACTATTTCGTGCCAATGCAAGCCCCGATTTGAAAATTTAACCGCTGCTTGTTTACCATTCAGAAACTCCACAAGCCTTTAAGAAGTGTAATTTCCAGAAGAGCAGACTAATGTGGTGATCCAACAAGAAGGCCTGGATGACACATGAGTTTTCACTGATTGGATCAATGAAGTGTTTGGTCCTTCCATAAAAAAATATTTGCTTGAGATGAATCTTCCTCTCTTGCTTGTTATTGACAATGCACCCGCCCATCCTCCGGGCCTACAAGATGATATTCATGAAGAATTTAATTTCATCAATATCCAGTTTCTGCCTCCCAACACCACTCCGTTACTCCAGCCTATGGACCAGCAGGTTATTTCTAACTTAAAAAAAACTCTTCACTAAAACACTCTTCGAGCGTTGTTTTGAAGTTACCGAAGAGACAAATCTCACTCTTAGAGAGTTTTGGAAAGATCATTTTCACATCGTTGTTTGCCTCAAGATGATTGACAAGGCTTGGGAAGGAGTTACCAAGAGGACCCTCACTTCTGCTTGGAAAAAACTTTGGCCAGAGAGTGCTGTTGAAAGTTGATCGTGGTGTTTGATCGGTTTATACAATTATGTTTGTGAATTACCCGCTGACTTTTAAAAATTTTCTCAAAACCGCACTTCAACCATGTTTGCCACATACAAAATAAAAACTTTTAGTCCAATTTTACAATGGTTTTTACCATTATAATCAACTTCCAAATCTATACAAATCAGAATTAGACTAGTTGGAAAGATTTGACTGAAACTGTCGGGGAGGGTCACATTGTAGATATGAGAATGGGGAAAACGCACAGCTCACATTAACACTAAACTTTGCTGTCATGCAACACAAAAACTACTCTTATTAGACTAAATTACATTTTAAAGATCATAAGTAGAACTAGCCATGTGCCTTTATAATCACTAGACATCCTGGAAAATAAAGTAAAATAACCTAGGCTAATTAAATTGTGATGCTAGCTTTTTGTAAACCTTCTAACTAAGTTTTGAAATAAATGGGCAAAGAATGGTGTACCCTGACAATAATTTAGGTTTTCTAAATTTTGATATTTTTTCTATACTTTGTCAAGGAACCAAAATATTTTGATCAGTTTTTAAGAGGCACCACAGCTAGGCTACCAACCAGTTAACAATTGAGAAACATTTGTCAAATTTTTTATGTGAACGACAAAACTTATTAGTTACACAGATATTCATAAATTAATTTACTAAATTACTACCTTTATTTCCTTGTCAGGAGGAAGATGATCTACCTTATGAAGAAGACATACTGCGCAATCCTTACAATTTAAAGTGCTGGCTGCGATATATAGATCACAAGAAAGATGCCAAAAAGGAGGTTCTTAACACTGTATATGAGAGGGCATTAAAACAGCTGCCAGGAAGGTATCCACATTTGTAAAATTCTTTATTTTAAAAATTAAATTTATACATTTTTTATTTGGCTGTACTAGTAATTAATGCTGCTTATAGCTATTAACTTGTATTTATAATGAATTGTTGGGATCATATTGTTTTATCCTAAATTTTGTAAAGTCATGATTCAGAAGTTCAATTAAATTATCTCTGTCACTAGCTGTTTTGTATGATCTTGTGAGACTTACAAATATGTGCTATAATGCTAAAAAACAATTTAAAAATTAAATTTATACATTTTTTATTTGGCTGTACTAGTAATTAATGCTGCTTATAGCTATTAACTTGTATTTATAATGAATTGTTGGCATCATATTGATTTATCCTAAATTTTGTAAAGTCATGATTCAGAAGTTCAATTAAATTATCTCTGTCACTAGCTGTTTTGTATGATCTTGTGAGACTTACAAATATGTGCTAAAATGCTATATTAAAATAATGAGGTTATATTTACTCCACTAAAAAAATGTTATTTTCTCCTGGTTCTGGTATAAAAAATAGTAAATAAATGTTAAATAATCCACAGCTACAAGTTATGGTACAACTATCTCAAACTTCTTCGTGCACAAGTTCGAGGGAAAATTGTGACAGATCCTTCATTTGAAGAAGTGAACAGTGCTTTTGAGCGTTCTCTTGTTTTCATGCATAAGGTTTGTAGCTGTGTTTAGTATAATGAATCATTAAAATAATTAAATTCAAATTTCATCATATTTCTGTTCTGCTCCATTTATTATCAATTTATTTTACTTTAATGAATGTTTTTATTTCCATTATAATAGAATGATATATATATTTTTTTAAATTTAATTTCAGATGCCCAGGATATGGCTAGATTATCTTCATTTTTTAATTGACCAGGGAAAAATCACCCGCACAAGACGATGCTTTGACAGAGCTCTAAGAGCCCTGCCCATTACCCAGCATGGCAGAATCTGGCCTCTCTATCTCAAATTTATGCGTTCACATGATCTGCCTGAAACTTCTGTTAGAGTATACAGACGGTACCTAAAGGTAAGACTCTTAGTAATTATCATAGAGGTTCTTATAAATTTGTAAGCTGCAACTTGCTTATCAATGCTTCTATTGCTACTTTATATGTGCCTTAAATTTTCAGTTACATTTATTTTTAAATGGTCATCATTAGAGTTGTTAGAACAACAATTTTGGGGCCCTGTGTTGTGTTTCTCATTTAAGTCCTCCACCCATTATTTTAGACATGGTATCAATTATAATTTTATTTGTTAATTTTTTAATTTTGTTCTTTAGCTCCAGAAGGAAGGTTCTGAAGAGTATATAGGATTTTTAGTTTCCATTGGTTGGCTTGATGAAGCCGCACAAAGATTGGCTGATATTATCAATGATGAAACTTTTGTGTCTGTTGAAGGAAAGTCAAAACATCAGGTACTTCTTTTAAGCGGCTCACCATTCTTTTGCTTCATTGTGTCATTTAAAAAAATTTTATCTTATTTGCCTTGGTCTTATACAATTTTCATCCACACAAAAACATGTTTGTCAAGTGTTAGCCTTACCAACAATATATTCTAATTGTTCTCAATTGATGTTATTTAAATGGAACTGGTGAGATCTATTTAGATTTATTCCTTAAGTTTACTTTTAATGCAATAATAAAAAATGTATTTGGGCTGCTGGTATTTTTTTGATACCTAAATAAAAATTCAAGAAGATGACTATTTTTTTCCTGTTTCAGTTGTGGAATCAATTATGTGAACTGACTGCTAAAAACCCAGAGAAGGTTACTTCTCTTAAAGTGGAGCCCATTATTCGTCAGGGTCTTAAACGGTACACTGATCAGATTGGTGTCTTATGGAACTCTCTAGCTGACTACTACATTCGAGGAGGTCATTTTGAACGGGTGTGGCTTTTTTAATTGATTTATTGTATTATTAATCAGTGCACTGTTCTTGAAATTTTATATTCTCATAAAGGCTATAAATACCAATTAGACATGGTTTGGGTCACCTCATTTTCTAGGTGTGTGGATTTTGTTTAAATATTCTTCTATTGGACATCCCCATTCATCCGCAGGCCAGGGATATATATGAGGAGGCCATACAAACAGTGATTACTGTTAGAGACTTCACACAAGTTTTTGATGCATGTGCACAGTTTGAGAAGAGTATGATTGCAGCTAAAATGGAGACAATGGAGGAAGAAGGGGCTAATGAGGAAGGTAAAGGAGAAAAAAAAGTTATTTTTTTTATTAAAGTAATGTTGCAGATTTTATCGAGGAAAGAATCAATATCTAACACTAAATTTTACTGAGCCAGCATGAATTTTTTTTTATTAAAAAAAATTTCAAGTCAGGCTAATATTTATTTTAATTTTTTTTTTTAGGGCTGGTGTGAAAAAATATTTTTTTAAATATCTTAGTTGAGAATATTTTTTTATAAATATTTATTTAAAGCGGAATTTCCCAGACATTAAAGTTGATGAGTTACAACATGTGATATTTTTATGTTGAAGATGACCTTGATTTTTGAAGGTTTTTTTAAAAACGACAAACATATATATAACTCTCCTGTCAGTTTCTTAAGTAATATTGTGTAGACTGGCAACATAAGGCTTATGGACGAATGGTGGTCCGCAGATCACAATTTGGGGAATGCTGATTTAAGGTATATAAAGTAGCAAAGGTTGTTCTTGTTTTTAAAAACACTTCCAGCCACAAGATGAAAGAATAAACCCAATTCTTCCTATACTTGATATATATTGTCACTCAACAGATGATTTAGAACTTGAAGTTCGTCTTGCAAGGTTGGAAAGTTTAATGGACAGACGGCCTCTACTTTTAAACAGGTGAATCCCACACAAAAAATGTTTTTTCAACAGTAACAAATGTTATATTAGGATATGTTGAGTAACAAATGTTATATAAGGATATGTTGAGTAATTGCTATACTATAACTGTTTCTTAAGTGTGAAAGGAAAAACTATTTTAAGAGTATTTATTGTAAAAGCTCTTGAGGTCATTTAACCTTGATCAAGATTTCATTGTCAATGATTGGGTTTTGCACTTATATCGTGACTGCTCCGGAAATATGGGAAGAGTACGCATAAATGAAATGTTTTTTCAGCTAATGTTTTTTAAAGACTAAACTGAAATTTTAAATTATTTCTTTTTTTTCTGTAATTATGATGACTCTTATAATTAAAAGTACTTAGAGGCATATTAACTTATATCTTGGTCAGGGAATTTTGTAACTTATAATGATTGTTGATATAATCCAGTGTCCTATTAAGACAAAACCCTCACAATGTCCATGAATGGCACAAGAGAGTCACATTATTTGAGGGGAAACCAAGAGAGGTAAAGATTTAAGTTCAAATCGTTAGTAATTTTAATAATTGCATTTATCATTCTAAAATATCCTTATTATATATACATGATTATAACTTTCAGTTTCTCTATATCTGATATAAATTTTTTTTCTTTATTTTTCATGCATTGTAGATTTTTTTATCAATAAGATCAATTACATATCACATATTTATTTTTACATGGGGTGGGGGGTGTATAAATTAAAGAGCTTTTAAAGACTCTCTAATTTAAGAACTGTATGTATCAGTGAAGTTTTTTCTCTAACCAGATAATCAACACTTACACAGAGGCTGTGCAGACAGTAGATCCCAAGTTAGCTTCAGGAAGACCTCATACTTTATGGGTGGAATTTGCAAAATTTTATGAAAAAAATGATCAGATTGAAGATGTGAGTAATTTATATTATTATTATATCAATTACATGAAATGAATTAACATTGAAATGCATTTTTTGGGATTGTGGGTGGTTGAAAAATGCAAAGTAAGCATATTTTGGCAGCAATATGGGAAGAGTTTATATAAACTAAGTAATATTGTCTTTAATTGAGAAATAATAGAAATCTAGAGAGCAAAAAAAAGTATCAAGGATTTCATGATGAATTGACAATTACATTTTAGTTATATAAATTATAAAGTATCAGCCCACCATTTATTTTGACAAATAAATTCTAAATGTAAAGATAATGTGACAAGTTCTTAAAGCATCTCAAATAATCAATTATAATTTATTCATTGTTTTGTTAGATCATAATTTTAAAATTAATTACCAGGCTCGAATAGTGTTTGAAAAAGCCACACAAGTTCCTTACAAACATGTAGATGATTTGGCCTGTGTCTGGTGTGAATGGGCTGAGATGGAACTCAGGCATGAGTAAGTATATAACTCGTCAGTTCCTTCTATTGTCGTTCATGTTCTCTGTTTTTGTTTTTTTTTCTTCAAAATTCCAGATATTGAGCCAAAAGGTAAATGCTCTAAAAATGCTTATCAAACTCTCCCCCCCCCCCGTTCTCAAATGTTAAACGGTTTTCTTGTGTTACATTGTTTAACTTGATACTACTTTTTTTTTTTTTTTAAATTTATTTTACAGTAACAGCGAGGAAGCCCTTAAACTAATGCAGAGAGCTACAACTCCCATGAAAAGACAAGTGGCCTATCATGATGAGGTGAAAGGGGAATTTAAATCATTATAGTAGCGACTCGTGTACCAGGAGTAGGCAAACCATGGCCGTTGGTCAAATTTTGAACACCGCCTCATTAATAGTAAACATATGAATATGTTTATAATGGCAACAATAAAGTTAAATCCATGTATCAATAAATAAAAGTAAACCCATCATGTGGTATACCGCTGTTTCAATTATGGTAGTTCACCACAAAATATAGAATTTTTAACATTTATATTTTTATATATTTTATAAAATCTTCACTACTACTCAAGGAAGAGGTAAGGTTTTTACTTGATGAAGTTAAATTGATCAGTGGAATATTAATTTTAGAGTTTATGTTTTTTTAAAATGCTGTTGCAGACGGAAACAGTACAGGCCCGTGTACACAAGTCACTTAAAGTTTGGTCTCTTTATGCTGATTTGGAAGAGAGTTTTGGAACTTTTAAGGTACAAATCTATATCTGTCTTATTATGATATGTATGTTTCATACGTATTATCCATTTCATAATTTCTCTATAATAATGTGCAAATATTTTTTGCCTGACCATCAAAGATGTTATCAGTTTTACTCCAGTGCAATGTATATTTACAATATTTCCATTTTTGCTAATAATCATTGAAAAAAACAGCCTTCAATTTGAATTTAAGGAATCCACTGCTACTCCAACTTATATTTTCTTTTCGTTCAAGTCTTGTAAGGCTGTCTACGACAAGATCATAGACCTTCGGATTGCCACACCTCAGATTATTATTAATTATGCCATGTTTCTGGAAGAGAATAACTATTTTGAGGAAGCTTTTAAGGTATTTATTTTACTGTTTTTCTCTGAGTTACTTTAAATTAAAATGTATTAGGAAGATTTTGGGCTTTCACAATTTAAAAAAAAAAATGTCTTGGCATACTTTGTGTTAGAATATATATATATATATATAAGACATAGAATATATATATATATTATATAAGACATTTGGTTTACAATCTGACTTTGGTACTCACATTTTGGTATTTGTTTACAGGCCTATGAAAAAGGAATTGCTCTTTTCAAGTGGCCCAATGTTTACGACTTGTGGAATACATACCTGACCAAATTTATCACTAGATATGTGAGTATAGATTTAAATGCTATTATTATAATACAGTTTTTATTTATTTTTTTTTAAGATAACAGAATAAGCATTAGTTGCATTATTTAGTTTATTAAATAATTTGTACTTTTTTAAAGAGTAGTGTTTTTGTACAGACATAGTTTATTTTCCACTTCACTTCTAACTTTAAATAAAAAACATTAATTACTTTTTATTTCATGCTTTACTTGAAAGCATAACACTTTTGGAATGTCAAATTTAAGGGGTATTTTTATTCGATCCTTTAATTTTTAGGAAGGATCAAAACTAGAAAGAGCAAGAGATTTGTTTGAACAATGTTTAGAAAAATGCCCTGAAAAATTTGCCAAAGGTAAGGAATCTCCAGTAATTATTATTATAGGTGTTTTCATGGACCTTTCGACCATTGTTTCATAATGGCTTTGTTTTATTTTCGCATTTTTCAACCAAGGAATGAGGCAATAATAAAACCATTCCAACAAAATATTAATTTTTGGTCAGCATGTCATTATTTTGTGGAGATGTATTTCATTGTGCATCAGGTGAGGGTAAATGGACAGTTCTCATTGTACTAAGTATTTTGCTTCTCCAGAAATTTATCTGTTATATGCTAAACTTGAAATGGAGCATGGTATGGCACGTCATGCAATGGCAGTGTATGATAGGGCGACAAGAGCTGTCTTACCTGAGGAACAGTATGAGGTATTATAATATGCCATGTAATTTTGTGTAATTGTTTATATGAGGTAAATCTGTGCATTTATTATGTGGATACATATATACATGCAAACTTGTTTTGAAAGATATGAACCTTATAGACAATAGAAGTTGAAATAAGCAGGTAAACTCAATATTTCTTAAATGGACCTCAACTTTTCTGCTTTTTCTATTCCCAAAAAACAGATGTTTAATATATACATAAAGAAAGCGGCTGAGGTTTATGGTGTGACCCACACACGCACAATTTATGAAAAAGCCATTGAAGTTCTACCCAATGACCAGGCAAGGTATGGGAATGCATTTATTCTTATAACAGAAGAATGTTTTGGATAACAATATAATGCAAACTGAAATCAATTCTCCTATCAGTAAAATAATTCATTTAATTTCTTTGTTTAATATAGCCATTAAATTGGAATTAGTTTGGATTGTTATAGTTTTAGTTTGATTTACAAAATACATTTTTGCAGCGCCTTTTGGATATAGCTAACTTAAAATTAATTGTACTTCATCCCTTGTAGAGAGATGTGCTTGCGCTTTGCTGATCTGGAAAAGAAGCTTGGAGAGATTGACAGAGCCAGAGCGATCTATGGTCATGGATCCCAGATTAGTGACCCCAGGGTAAACTATGGTTTTATTTTAATGAGGTTTTGATGTTTTTACAGCAATGTGCTGGTATATTAGGTTTGTAAACTATCACTAGCTAATATCTTTTTTGGGGATTCTTAAAAATTTTTTAGGGCTATATTATAATATTTGCATATTTAAGGTGATAAGAAAATACTAGTATTATTATGAAACCCTTCCTCCATCACCAAACACCAAACTCTATTGCAGTCCACTAAGGCAGTTCTTGATTTAATTAGTTAGCTTTCTACTACACATGAATGATTGTAATAACCTTTTAGCAACTGAATAACAAGAATAATTAATTTATTTGTTACTCCTTATTACATCAGGTTGCGCCACAGTTCTGGGAGTCATGGAAAGAGTTTGAGATTAACCATGGCAATGAGGACACAGTCCGTGAGATGTTGAGAATCAAGAGGAGTGTGCAGGCCACATACAACACACAGGTTGGTCTCAGTTTGTTTAAATTGAAATGTCGGTCATTAATTAAAGTAGTGAATGTAATTGTCCATAGTAGTGTCATCCAACATTGGTAAATGTTTAATATGTTTTTCCAATGAGTTACATGTTATCATAACCAGGTTTCACCAAACTTATATTGTGTGTCAAAACATGTTATCCTGTTTAGAATTATTTTATTAGAATTTAAGATTTTTGCAGGGTTCTCACGGTCTTTGAAGGTTTGGGAGAAATAAAATAAAATTTCCAGGGCCCGAAAAGTTTGGAAAAATTGGCAAAAAATGTCACGATCTTTGAAAGTTTGGGAAAAATGATTTTAAAAAATTCAATAGGGAAAAAACCCCGCAAAAAAAAAATCTAAGAAAAAACATGTTTCCAATTTGAATGACATGCGCAATGCGCATTTCTTATTGATCCGTAACCCTGCAAGAAAGAAATTAGTTCATTGTTCGGTAGATTTGTTTAAGCCAATCAAATTACTTTTAACCTTTAAGCTATCAGTACTATCAGTCTGAAAAACGAGAAACGAGAATTGATTGCATAATTTTCTCGGTCTTGAAAACCGGCAAAATGGGTCATCTAGTAAAATTTTCCGGATAGTCTGGAATTTTTTTATTTTGTAAATAATAATAAATTTGGCTTTGAATACCTTGAAAATGGACGTTAATCGCCAATCTCGTCTATTTTAATTTTAACCTTTCTGTTATCAAAAAAGCACTTTGCCTAATACTAGAGTGGTTTCCCTTAACTGCGCATGCTCTACAAGTTTCTAATACCGTACAACTTCGATTGACCAGAAATATTTAATTTCTGTTCAATTCTGTGAATTCTGGACCTTGAATTCTGTTTTTGGGATCAGATTTTAGGTGGGGAAAAGTGCATACAGCCTGAATACATAGCGACTTATAGTCTAATTACATGAAGTTTAAAGGGATTTCATAATGGTGTTTTGGGACGAAATAAGTGAAGCTGTCTAATAATATGATTTCTTATTTTTATTAAGTACCAAATTAACATTTAAGTTTAATATACAATGTTATATTACATGTTTTTTTGTTGTTAGTTTTGTGTTAGAAAGTCTATAAATTTACCAGTGTGCTCCCCCCCCCCCCGCACCCACTGTTTGCCTAATCTAAATGTTCCCTTATTGTCAAATTATTATTTTTTGGTTTTTAATTGTTGATTTTTTTTCTAGTGAAATAGAAAAATTTTTTATTTTTTTTTTTTTTTTATTTTATGTTTTTTTGTTGTTAGTTTTGTGTTAGAAAGTCTATAAATTTACCAGTGTGCTCCCCCCCCCCGCACCCACTGGTTGCCTAATCTAAATGATCACTTATTGTCAAATTATTATTTTTTGGTATATAATTGCTGATTTTTATGCTAGAGAAATAGAAAAATGTCTTATGTTTTTGTTATTTTTAATTATAAAATGTTGTCTTGGTTAACTATGTATTTCTTTTTGTGCAGATAATGAATATGTACAATTTAATAAAAAAACATTTCAATTTATTTGGATCAATTAAAGAATCTTGTCTTATGTTGCATTATATTTCTGTCAGAGCCTTAACATGGGCCCTGCATCCCCTGCGACTGCAGGGGGCCTCAGATATATTAGGGGCCCAGAGTTGAGATTACTTTTTACATGGGGAAAAAATCGTCCATTTTTGTTTATTTCCCCAGGTTAACTTTATGTCTGCCCAAATGCTAGCAGCACAGAGTAAGAAACAGGAAAATGTAAATCTAGGTAATGAATTTTGCCATTTGATTTGCAAAATGAATTGTAGAAGTTATTATTTTTTATTAATGCATGCCATCTACTAAAAAGGCAAATCAAATGTTGCATTATTGCTTAAATGCTTTAAGTAATTCTATTCTCAGGCATTACACAGCACTTTTATGTTGCCCAGTCACTTAAATGAAATTATTTATTTTTTAAAAATAAAATATTATGTTCAAATATCTTTTTATAATAATCCTGTTACTGTATGTTTGGTTTAATTTTTGAATCTAATATCATGTTAAAAAATGTGCCTACACAGAGGGGGGTGATGAAATGCAGCAACTTGAAGCAAGAGCCAGACTATTGGCCCAGGAAGCACTGCAAGAAAAAGCTCAAGCTGAGAAAAAACTGCTCTTTGTCAGGTTAGACTTTTGTATTTCTCTGCCAAACCATTTGTTTCAGTTTTGTACATGCTATATTTCAGAAACTATATGCAAGGAAGTTCTATGAAATTAAACTTTTCTTTCTGTTTTTTTTTTGTGTGTCTGTTATTTCATTGAGATAACTACCTGGCTTGGCCATTCATTTTCACATATCTGTTTTTGTGTATTTTTAAAATTGATTTATATTATTTATTAACTATCTCTTTTAATTAAGGGCCCATCCATATGTAAATATGTAAGAAATGTAAAAAAAATTTTATCGCCAACAAAATCAATTTAGCTTTAGACAATTATGGCATCATAGTAAAAAAGGTGTCACAGGTTTTCACTGCTATCTGTTTTGTGAGCACAGTGGTTCCTAAGACTAATACTCTGCTTTGCCCTGGGGGCCATATTATCATAGGGCAGTGCCATAGGAAGGGGGCACTCAGCCTGGGGGAAGGACTGTAATAGGGAATTGAACTATCTATAAAGTCTCTTCTACTTTACAAAGGCAAGGGGGTAAAATTTGTCTTTTTACCCACACTTTTTCTGCTTACTGATGGACGCCATTTTCAGAATTTGCCCTGGGCACCTGTTGCCCTCAACCAGGGCCTACGTTGCAGCGGCTTCCTCACAAGGGCACCACAATATATTACATATGATAATAATAGCTTACTGAGAACACATAATTATTTGCTTTTAGTTGATATTTACCAATATTAGTTTATGGATAGATCAAAGAATTGTCTGAGGCAAGACCGCAACGATCATTGCAAATAGTAAAAATTTAAGTACCTTTGAACCCAACAGGATGTATGGGTAATATAGCCGTTGTAGTTTTTGCTGTGATAATTAATAACAATAAACAAAACTATTAAAACTAGATTAGATAAATTTAAAACATTACTCCGACTAAACTTAAATCAGCCATAATTACGGCATATAAAACATTTAAATGAAAGAATTTTAAATTTGAAGTGGCCCGTGTTGGATTGGTAAACATGGTATTACTTAACACTTACCTAATTGTTTTTACAACAAGGAATGAAAATCATGAAACGTGAATATCAACTGCAATAATCGTCCTTCAATATTTCACATTGTACCATTCATTCATGTTTAAAAAAATTTACCATATTTTCTCACAAATAAGAAATTATAAGACGCACCCATGTATAAGACTCGGGTTGTGACGATTTGTGTAAAAAATTATTTTACATAAGAGGCACCCATATATAAGACGCACCCTGGGTGCAGGGTATGAAAAACTTTGCATAAGACACCTCTTATTTAATGTGAAAATACAGTGTAAATATATTTTATTTATGGGCTTTCAGAGTTTCAGAAAAATTATTGCAGATTTTTTTAATAAATGTCAGTTGGGACTTCCCTTCAAATATGCAAATGTCCGTATAATCTCTAAAATCGACCCCCCTCCCCCTCTGTGTGTTGATACCATATGCATGGCCTCTAAATATTAAATAGATAAATAGATATATTTTTCCACATAAATATAGGTAATATATGTTTATAGCCATATTTTGTATATACATTTATACAGATGTAAATAAAGTTTAAAATCCATAGATTTAACAAGAAAATTGCTTCCATGTTAAAGATATGTTTGCAGTCATTTAAAAATATAGTTTTAACTATTTATAAATAACAATATGTTTTATCTGGGCACTTTCAGAAGCAGTACCACACAAGAAGAGCTTGGTGAGTTCACCAAAACCAACAACCCTGAAGAAATCAACATTGACGATGATGAAGATGGGACTGATGAAGAGGAAGAAGTGGAAGGTTTGTCTTATTACTTTCAAACCTATAATAATGACAGGGCCCAGTGTTCAAATGCCTGATAGCTATATTTTTATTAAGATAGACCACTCTGTTACTGTCAAGCTTTGAGAATCACTGTGTCATGGGTGAATTAAGGGTCGTGACTTGTGAGTCTGAGTTGTGTTCTGAAGTCTAAATGAGATGTGTTGATGGTAAATACCAATGAGTAAAGGGGTAATAAGGGGAGAGACTGCAATCAGGTTAGTACAAAATAAAATGAGTAAAACAGAGTATGGTTAAACCTGAAAAATTAAACGTAACAAAACAGCGAACGTGTCGGCAGAAAGCCTTCGTCAGCGAACAAAACAACAGAAAAAAACGTTATAAAAATAAGAAATAGCACTTAGCTGGTAAGTAGTATCTGTGGGCAGCAATAGAAGTGTGGCAGAAGGAAAATGAGTGAGAGTTTAAATAAGCAGCGGCGAAAAAAAGAGGGGAGAAAAAAGTTCACTGTGATAGGTCAGAACGTGGAGGGGCGGAGCTAGGGTCAAGCTGTGAACAGAGACATAACATTAATCCCATCTGGCGTCAAAGTGCCGTAAGTCAGGATAAGTCTGTGTTCCAAATTGACCCGGCTGGTGGTGTTAGTGCTAGCCACAATCGCACTTATGGAAAAGTCCGCCTTGCCCCAAGGGCAGTTTTCAGATACGCGACGGTTTCCTCTGTACAAGCCGCAACGTTATCTACGCCATTGTCTGCACCCGCTGTCAGATGACCTACATAGGGGAGACTGGACGCCGTCTCTCGGACAGGTGTACCGAACACCTCCGAAACATTACACAAGATAAACAGTGTCCCGTCTCCAAACACTTCAATAGTAGCGACCACCGGGGCAAGGCGGACTTTTCCATAAGTGCGATTGTGGCTAGCACTAACACCACCAGCCGGGTCAATTTGGAACACAGACTTATCCTGACTTACGGCACTTTGACGCCAGATGGGATTAATGTTATGTCTCTGTTCACAGCTTGACCCTAGCTCCGCCCCTCCACGTTCTGACCTATCACAGTGAACTTTTTTCTCCCCTCTTTTTTTCGCCGCTGCTTATTTAAACTCTCACTCATTTTCCTTCTGCCACACTTCTATTGCTGCCCACAGATACTACTTACCAGCTAAGTGCTATTTCTTATTTTTATAACGTTTTTTTCTGTTGTTTTGTTCGCTGACGAAGGCTTTCTGCCGACACGTTCGCTGTTTTGTTACGTTTAATTTTTCAGGTTTAACCATACTCTGTTTTACTCATTTTATATTACCAATGAGTAAGTCAGGATGTTAAATTGTGGCATCAGAAGAGTATTTGACAGTGTATTTTGAGAATTTTCCAGAGTTGTTTTAATTGGCAGCCTATGTTGCTTGGTTGATTAGATTAGGTATTCGGTCGACCTAACCCACGGTCTAGGAGTTTGATGTGATTTTATGTTAGTCCCTGTGAGTGGTCGGTCAAATAGAACCGTTCACTCTTGTCATGCAATGTACGATTTTCAGGTGTATACATTTTATATACTGTATGTTTATTTATTTCTTGCTATTAAGATAATTTATTGAACCATTTTGTGATGATATTGTAGGATTTTAAGAGTTTGAGGTTTAACAGGTATGGTCAAAGTGTCAGATGCTATGGTGTTTGTACATGATCTGCCACAAATTAATCATAGGTAACAAAACCTGGTTACCAATGTCTAAAGACAATCTTAGCCTTAAGCATTGCTTAGATCATTGTGGTCGACCGCTCAGAGGAAACCTTCACGGGAAGGTGCCAGTGAAGATACCCTATCTTGCATCGACTTATCGGGTTAATGCTAGCTCCCGTGATTGTGAAATGGGGGGTGGCCATAGGAGGCTAAGGTTAGGGTCACCTTGGTGACATCCACCCCAACTCCAAGGAATCTGCCATCGGCATCTTGACAGCAGCCTTGTGTCCTACAGGATGGAGGCTGTGTGGGCAGGGAGGGGAGACTGGGAATCTGGTAAAGGTGTTGGTGCCTGTGGTAGTTCTTATTAAGGTTTTTAAAACTTAAATTGATCTTCAACTAAATTACACTTACGCTTATCCGTTATTTTATTTCTCTAGAAATGGAAGTTCAGCAACAGTCTGTACCCTCACAAGTGTTTGGTGGACTTGCTGCTCAATGGGGAAAAATTGATGCTGATGATGATTAATTTTTTTTTAATTGAACATTTACATTAACTTTTGCTAATTTGTTTTGTTTTTTTAAATATTTCACCATGATTTCAAAAAAATCATTTTTTGAAATGACTTACTAAATGTGTTACTACATTAAAGTTTTTGTCATAATTTAAACATTTATTATTAAAGTTACTCTCATTTTTGTTTTTATTTGCTTCATTATTAGAGTTCAATTGGTAAAATAATGTTTAAATTACTTTAAAGTTCATGTACTGTGTTGTGTCATTTTCTATTGTAAGTTTCTTAGTGTTACAAATAGAATGTTGTTACGAACTTTGTTAGGCTTGATAAAGTTGGAGTATGATGAATAGAAAACTGTCTTATGTCCTTGTTTATGTTTATGGTTAGTGTTTAAGTAATGTATGATAATATAAAGAGAAAAATATGTTGAATATGAGGAATAGGCACAAGACACCTAGTCTCACCAGCTGTCAGTTCCTAAGAGTTTAAGAGCAATAAGGGTAAAACACAATTTTGTTCTTAATAACTAAAAGTAAAAAACTATTTAAAGCGAAAAATCGCTTTTGTGATTTCAAAAAAACATCAGTGAATTCTGCATAGTAAATCAATACCTGATTCAACTTTCATTGAGGATCTCTAGTTATTGTTATCAACTTTTATTTTGAAAATCAACTTTCTGTACTTGCTACGGTTACCCGCATTGTTAACATTATTTTATACGCTATCACAACTTTTGGAAAAGAATCTGCAAGCGGCATAAAAAATTAAAGAGACACTAATGCGGTTTATACTGATAATCATTTATTTCAAGACCTACAGTTCTTTTAGTTAGTCTGAACCATCTACATCCCTAGAATCATCACTTCTCAACGCCACGTCCAAATCCACACAGCGCTTACTCGAATTATCCAGTCATTGTGCGTATTGCTGAATATCACACAGAACGCCAAAAATTTGCAGTTGCTGTAAATGTGTCTTAAGAGATCCCTTCTTACTTACCCCTAGATAATTCAGGCATTTCTTGTGTCTCATCTCTAGATTCATGTCCAAAATGCCTTTTTTTCTGCCTACTGCGTCGTTCTTCAAACAGTGTACATTCATGTCTGATGCTGATGCCATTTCCTTTGCAGTGGTAATCGCTGATGCTTATTCTTCATCTCTCTATTTAGTGAAGAAACAGATGTACATTTAAAATGACAAATTGCATAGTTGAGGTCTGCAAGACCTTGCCGAGGGACAGGCGGAAAGGACTGTCAATGGTTACCTGCCCGAGTAATTCGTTGGGTACCCAATTTTAATAAATATTAAAAAAGCAACCTTTCTAATAAGAATTTTAAAAAATTTTATCCTCCACTGCCATTAGCACCGCCATCACCTAACAAATTCCCACTAGCACCTGTCTACACTACTCTTTGGTGGCATGTCAGACTATCACATATGATGCTCATTCAGGGACCTAGCAACTACACTACCATGACCCTACTAAATATAATCGTGCTAAAATTTTCTGCTGTTCTAACGAGAATGACGTTATTTTAAATTTAAAAACTTATTTTTTACAAATACTTTCTATCAAAGAGGAGTCTAAATCAACTTAATGCCCCAAAACAGTAGAAAATAATTTAAAATTCTTAAAATGCATTACACAAAGGGAGTCTGGCAAGAAGTGTAGATCAGCACTTTATGCAGCCAAAGGATTTGAATTGAATGTAATAATGTAGATGACTTAAATATGTTATATTTTTATACATTTTTGAAATAGTGTCATGAATTTTGTTGTGGGGAATAATTCGTTCACCTTGTTTCTTTCTAAATCTGGTGAATAATCTCCCTTCGAAAAAAACCCGCGTAACTTGCAAAAATCTGAACTGAAAAGGAGGGAGGGTAAACAGAAACGCCGGTAGTTAAAATAGTGCACGAATTAGTATACAATTTTTAAGAGGAAATAAGAATATTTTGGGTAAGTATTATATTTATTATTTCAGTTGTTCGTTTTATATTAAAAATTTGTTTCTTATGTTCTATAATAGGCTTCCGAACATAGTTGATATGGCATGCACGTACAATTATTAATGCGCGTTGCTATAAACATGGCGGGAGTTTGTAAAGTTTCGACCGCTTGCAACTGTGATGCATTTTTAGCTTTATCAACAATAAACATTTCTCATCGGAAGGATATTGAAGCACTGTAATTATAAATTGTAATGCTCATTATTAAAATATAAATGCATTATTTAAATGTTGAAATACGACCAGTGAAGACATTACAAAGGGAAAAACAAATAGTAATACGTGAATTTATGACCGACAATTGCTTCGTTTAAATAATTAATAATACATTAAAATTAAAACTCCTAATATATTGATGTTTGCAAATACACACTCACACTGTGACTCAACACCCCATAAGGATGAAATGAGCAATACAAGTGAGGGCTCAATACTATTATTACTATAGTATTCTAATTAAGGTCAGAGCATACCAAGTTGACTAAAAAGCAGGCTTCAGTCACAGTACAGCAACTTAATAATTATTTAAATTAGCTGCTTTGAGTTACTTATTTTTCCTAAATATAATTATAAAAATTGTTTCACCTGGTGTTATTAAAGGCATGTATGACCAATTAATTATGTATGCTGATATACTTAAAGTGTACTTGCATATAGTCATATAGATATATGATGATATATGATATAGGCTTAGCCTACATTAATAAAAATTACCAGGCCTATTTCTTTCATGTCTATTACAGTATTACTCACTGATTAATCACATTCAATATTAATAGCTGTCACTGACTCACTTGTTGGAGCTAACACTAGTAATAGTAGTCCAGGGTACATGAATAATGATAAGAATAAGATAAAAAAGGGGGTGAGAAATGTTTTCTCCATGAACATGCAAAATGACAAGGCACTGATCAAATTATGGCCTTTGTCAGTTAAATTATAGATACCAACCCAAGTGTTTCATGACCATGTACCCTTATGATTCTTGAAGACCAAAGCCTATGCCTAACTGAAATTACAACCTGCCAGAATTTCTTATAAATTCCATCAATCAAGGAAGGCAGCTACGTTTTCTGAGCATGCAAGAAGAATGTTTCAGACATCCATTCACAAAATTTACTAAATCGTTTAGCCCATAGGGCATATACATATTAGTATTAGGCTTATAAATTATAGAAAAAGAAATTAAGTTTGTAATTTATGCCTGTAAGTGTATTCCTTCATATTTTTTTATTTATAGAAAGTTACACTGGCTGCCTTCAATCTGAAAGACAGAGCAGGACAGAGGTCTTTTTTCAGTTCTGTTGGATGCATAATTGCTGGGTTTTCAAATGCAGTAAAATGTTTAATTCCACATCATTTTAGTCTGAATAGTTCTGGCCGGCAAACACCAGACATGAAGCACAATAAAAGTGATAAACAAATATTCCAAATATCGCCACTCAAATTTAAGAAAAAGGACAAGCTCTTATCAAGGTGGACAGATGGTCTGTTCTACTTTGTAAAAGTTACTAAGGTGACCTTTTATTAATTATTATTAAGTTATTGTTTCCATTACAAAATTAAAGCTCTGCTTTAGACTATTATTGTTAATTTAAAACGACAGTGGCACCTCTGATAACGAACGACGCACCATCAAATGATATTTCGGGTTATGAACTTACGCATAAGCCTGTACACACAATCCCACAGGCTCAGTGGCGCTTTGGCATGTTTGCCCAAAATCACACTTTCTGTTATTTTTGCACTTTTTGTGTTGGTTATATTATATCATCATCATAATAGCTCCTAAGGAGAAAAGCATTATTAATAGGAGTTTGAGTGGAAGGAAATTATAATAGTGCATGATAATTGCCTTCCTTTTTCTCACATGGCCAGTGATTGGAGATAGTGTTAGCAAGAATATAAATTTTGTATCTATTATTACATAAATACCCTATAAAATGTAAAAAAAAAAATAGCAAGACTGAAACAGATTAATCAAAATTATATTGATTTCAAAGAATGGAGTGACAGAAAGTTTAAGTTCATTATCCGAGGTTCCACTATATATCTGTTACTGGGTATTACTTAATTGTGCAGCAAATTTTACATTTAAAATGTCTTTCTAATTGGGGGTTTCTTCCAATTAACACAGCAATGATATATTTAAGCACTAATAAAAGCATTTGGATGTTGAACTTTGTTGTCGAAATTCATTAATGTTTCAACATTTTGAATGCCTTCTAGTCAGAAATTTGATTGATGGACATGTTTAGTACATAAGCCTATTTAAATTCCACCCCCATTTCTTTGTACGCTTCAAAAATGTATTTGTATTATTTTCTCAAGGTAACTGCATCAAGCAAGATGTGCATGGTAGAATTTGAAGACAAGTCCACAGCTAGTGTCCATTTCAAAGATCTGTTGGAAGGTTGGCATAATACATTAAATATTCAAATTATCTCATGGCGGAATTGATGTTTTATTATATAATGGTAATCTACATCTGCCTTATAACGTATGTGTTGTTCAGTAATTAGTACCCTCCTGATTTTCCACATGCACCTGCCTTTTGCTTTTTAATGCCAGTCAGGTTCTTTCATCCATCTATTCCTGTGGTGCTACAGTCCATGTAGGGTCTGGCCTGCCTCAACCCTTCCATCCACTCAGACCTAACTGATGCTTTTCTTTTCCATACTTGGATTCCCAGCTGCTGCAGATCTTTTTCCACATCATCCATCCATCTAACCCTATGTCTGCCTTTGAGCCGTTTTCCTCTGGGGTTTTGGGGGTGCACCTTCTACACTCCTCTGTCATTTAGCATTCTTTTTAAGTGTCCAGCCCAGCATAGCCCGGCCTTATTTATTTCTACTACTAATGTGGGATCCTGATATAAATTATACAATTCCTGGTTGGTTGCATTCTCCATCCTTTGTAGGTCCGTATATTTTAAGGAGAATTTTTCTCTCCCTAGTATTTAATTATATAAATAGTTTGCTGCAGTTTTTGTTAGGGCCTATGATCCAAGTTTCACTTGCAAATGTTTCAACTGGTCTGATTACAGTTTTATATATTGTTTTCTTTGCTTTTCCTGTAATGTTTTTTACTTTTGAGTATTTTCAAACTACTTAATAAGAATGCCCTGATTCTGGTCAATTTTTTTCTTCTTTCATTTCTTTTAAATAAAGATTCTAGGTATTTAAATTGATTTACTTTTTTCTAAAGTGTGGTTTCTAATTTTTAAAAAAAAAATAAAAAAATTTGTTGTTAACTTCCAGTCCAGCTTGTAGTGATGCATCTTCTAATTCAATAAAGGCTTTTTATATGTCCTTACTACTTTTCGCTAACAGTGTTATATCATCATCATATACAAGTTACTGAAGGAGTTGATGGTAGAGAGTGCCTATTAGTTGTGTGTCTTGGGTTTCCCTCAGAAAGTATCCTGTTAGTTTAAATAGCATACAAGACAGGGAGTCTCCCTGTCTTTGACCTCATCTAATCTGAAATTCCCTTGAATATTCTCCCAGAACCTTGATTTTGATTATATAGGTGTTAAATGTTACATGTATCAGTCTTGTCAGTTTTTTTGGGTATGCCAAACTCCTACAGAGTCTCTTATAGATATTTTCTTTTGATGCTGTCATTGGACATTTTATAGAGTTGATGTACTTGAATATTATATTAACAATTAGGGGTGTGCCGGAATCCGGTTCCGCCGGATTTTACACTATCCGGTGAAATCCGGTTCCGCCGGATTTACATGTATCCGGAACAACCGGAATCCGGAATATACCGGATTTCGGAATTTCCCAGATTTTGTGACTCACCGGATCATAATCTGAAATAAAAGTAATTCTCTTTCCCGAATTCCACACGATCACGATACAGTAATCGATTGTTTCGAGCGTTGAGCTTGTTTAATGTTTAATATTCCGTACATACCAGAGGCTAGAGTCAGCACCGCTAATAGTGGCCAATAGTGTAGGGACTTTGATAAGAAAATTTAAACTTTTTGTAAAAATAAACCAATGGCATAGTTGAAAAGATGTAATTTTTTAAAGAATTATAACACCAAAATCATATTTTTAGCTGTTGTAGTTTTAAAGTTATGAATTTTTAAAGTACGACTTGGTTTGTCATTTTTTAACATGGACTGCATCTCCACATTCTGTGATCTCATTCCACCAATCCCGTCATGCGCAATGACTATATAGTTTATATAAGGCAACGCATTCCCTGCCTTATCACTAAAATACTGTTTAGACTTAGTTTAAACTTTCAACTTTGGCACATGAATAATTAATTAAAGCTTTCCCTGACCAATGGTTTAATAGTTTTTGCACACGGCAAACTCTTATGAATGAAACTCTGAGGTAGTACTACGATACAGTTATGCAAGTGGCTGTGAATGGTTGCCAATGACAACGTGTTGCACACGGTAAATTCTGATCATTTATAATATGGATTCTACCGGGTTGTTAAAGCTCAAATTAAAACATTCCAGTTTAAATGTCTTTAAATGCATTCTGAAACACAAGTTATCAATTATTTTGATGTAAATAGTGATAATATATTAATATTTCCTAAGTATCGTCAACTTCCGCCATTAAAAAGGGGGGCGTGGCCAACCCCATGGCGAAATTAGGTTGAGCGAGCTGCATGACCTGCTGCGAACGCGTAGAAACATGGCGTCTCTCGTAAGACACTTATCCAAATGGAACGGAACTCAAATATATATCGAAAGTACTAATTTAATAATAAATAGACACACACATCGGAAAATTAAAAACTCGGATTTTTTGGCGCCGATTGCGAATTCCCATACACAAAAAGTAGTAGTCCACCTTGACTTACCGAAGTATCTACCAATAGTACCAAAATCCGGGAGAAACCGGAATCCGGATTATTCCGGAATCCGGATCCGGCGGATTTGGCATAAGAAAATCCGGATCCGGTTGGAAAAAACGGATCCGGCACACCCCTATTAACAATATTTCTCTAATAGGAATCTGATCTGGGAAAATCCTCTGTAGTTTGCGCCCTGAAGTTGAACCTTTCTTGTGTATTGGAGTTATCAGTGCTGTTTCCCATTTAGTTGGAATCTTCTCTTCTTGTCAAACTTTAGTTAGTTTATGTTCCTCGGCATGGCTTTTTGTTTTCATTAGGCTATTGATGATCATATGTTCCTCAACACCACATAGAAAAACTTCAGAAGGCACAGAACTCAGCATGCAGACTCATTTTTAGATCAAAGAAACATGACCACATTCAACCACACATGCGGCAACTCCACTGGCTTCCAATATCCTCTCGCATCAAATACAAGTCTGCCAATCTTTGCTTCAACTCGTTCACTGACCCTCACTTTCCTGTCTATCTCTCTGAACTGTTGCTTCCTTACATCCCCACAAGACAACTACGGTCTTCCATTGACAGTAGAACCCTCTCAATCCCAAGAACTAAAACTAAGACCATCGGTGAACGCTCCTTCTGCTTCCATGGGCCCACGTTCTGTAACCAGCTCCCCTTCCATATACGTCATAGTGAAACCTCGTCCATTTTCAAAAAGTCCCTTAAAACTCATCTGTTTAGGTCCGCCTATGACCTGTGATGCACCCTCCTTGCCCTACCTCATTTTCTGTTTCTAACTCATCTGTTTAGGTCCGCCTATGACCTGTGATGCACCCTCCTTGCCCTACCTCATTTTCTGTTTCGGGTTGATCCTGAAGTGTCAAAGTGTCCTCGTTTTATAGCCATTTTCATTGTTTCTATAGTATAGTAGATACTATCCTAGTGTCTCATTTTTATTTACTTAGTTTACATGTTTTAATAATTGTAAAGTGCTTAGAGCTTTATGATAAGCGCTATATAAAAATGCCTAAATAAATAAATAAATAAATATGGTTGATAAGTCTTGAGTTGGAATTTAAAATCAATACAATAATAACCAAGAACTTGTGAATGAAATATACTGATATTTATTACCCTCCAACATGTCCAACTCCAGACACTTCAGTTTTTGAACTGTTTTCTATTTCTTGTCTTGTCTGCTGAAGAAGAATCTTAGCTAAAATGTTCTCGTTTTATTGTCCTGTCTTTTTATACCAAGCTTCAGCATAGCTTGTTCCACTATTTCCTACAGATACTCAACTTCAGATGTTAAAAATTGAATTATTTTATTTAATTTGGTTCATTTTTATTCTTGATTTTTTTTTTTTTTTAAATGAGGTTTTGAAGAAGAATAAATTAAAGTTCATTTCTAAACAAAGCTATACCCTTTGGGTTTAAAACATAAGTATGTTTAAGGGTGTTTTTATGAAGCAAAAATTGTGATTGTTTTTTCTTTTTGTTTTTCTCAGAAAAAGAGGACGGGGCTGTACAGTGTCACTACTGTGGTAAAGAAGAAACAACCTCATCAAATCAGTTAATCAGATGTAGTAATTGCGAACGAGGTAATACATTTCTATAGTTCATTTGAATACCTAAACTAGCAGACTTTGAAATGTTCATTATTGAAGTCCATGTCATAGGTAAGGTTATTAAATACCATTGCTAAGTAGCCTTTTCAACCAGTGAAGTATCCCCTTCAAATCCATGTACAGTTACACCACAAACCCCTTTGAAACATAGGAGCCAGAATTATCAATACATAGATCATGGGCCTTCAAAATAAATAAAAAGAAATTGTTAATCCTTACCTTGCATGCATTACTTATGCATTTTATACCTAATTATGGATACCCATTTATAACAAACATTTATCTTTTACCCCATATAAAAAGAATTAATTTTTTTTTTTTAAAGCATTCTTGATTGGTAGAAACGTTATGCTCTCTCCAATTTTAGTGAGGCTAACACAGTTAGAAAAAATCAACAAAGATCTACTGGAGCAAAACATTGGATAGTGCAATAGAAAAACACACAAATGTAATAAGTCATGTTTAATTGTTGAAAAAAAAAACTAAATTTGGAAGAAAAGGCTTCACTCGTTTTTAAAATAAATCCTTTATATTAACTTCTCTTTTGTTCGTGGCTTGCAAAATCTTGGGGCGGCTAATTGACCCACTTCCAGTAAACCTATCGAGCTAATTCTTGGCACATCAACTTGTTTCCAATGACAACACATTCTTTCAAAATTCTAGTTCCACCCTGAGCCCCAAAAATAAGTACTTCCTGGTATTCAAGGGGAAGATGAAGGGAATATGATGATGCTGATTTCACGGAAGAAAATTCATAATAACTGTGCTAAATGAGATTCTTTTTGAAAAGTTTTACTTGAATGCATGTTTGTCAAATTTTTAGCCCCACCCCATAGCTCAATATTACATTTTTAAAGGATGTTTACCCCAAAAAATTGTTTTAGGGGTTGTTTAATTATATTATGAAACATATATAGTGTTAACCGAATCGAATTGGAATGCTGTGTTAACTTTTTAATTTTTTCTATGACTTTTTTTTTTAATGGTATAGTTTGTAAATGGTTTTTTCTCAAATATTTATAATTAAAATTACTATTTTCAAAATTATTCTAAAGAATCTGTAAGCCTTAACTCTTAAGACAAAATTAAATCATTAAAGAAATGTGTAATATTATTTATATTTATTCTTCTTCTATTAATATGTAGTTTTCATCCCTCTAAAAATTCTCAAATCTATTTTTAAATTTTGTCCTTCACATGTAGTAGTTAGTCCCATAGTGCAGGTCATTCTCAATGCTTTATTACTAGAAATAATACAATAATTATTATACAAAAGTAAGAACACAGTTTATGATAAATAGTAGCACCATTCAACTCTTCTATTTTGAAAAGTATAAATTAAAAACAAAAGTTTTTTAGTGTTTGTGTGATTTGTTGTAACTATTGGAAAAGAAATCAAGCATACTTTGATTGATTTTTTTTTATTTTAATATATTAGAAATATTTAAAAGAGTTTTTTTTTTTAATAGGCTTATTTATTTTGGGCTTTCTGGACTTGTCAAATGAAATTGCTTAATGCCATACTTGTTATTTCCAAAAAAAAATTTAACTAATGATGAATGGGACAATAATATAAATTCAAAAATTTCTTTTGTAACAAAAAATGTTGCCCTTTAATTTAAAAAAAAAAAAGAAAAAAAGAAATTTTTAAACACAGACTCTTCGGCTTGTAAGTGGATTTTTGTTTACTCTACAGATTTCCACCAGAACTGCCACATACCAGCAATACAGGAAGAAGATACTGATGAGAAGTTTGTGTGCCGTATTTGTGTTTTTGCCTCTTGTGCACAGGTAATTTTAAATCATTAAAAAGTGATTCAAATTGCCTTGAAAGTTTTAATTAGAAATTTATTTCTTTTTGGTTTTCATCAATGGATATTAATGTATTTGTAATATATTTTTTTATGGTTTCATTTAAAAAAGTTACATTTACTAGACGTGTGTATATTTACTAGACATGTGTGTAAAAAAAATTTGGCGATTTAGCTTATTTGATTTATTTCTTGTAATTTTAATAACTGCTGTAAGGCTTACAATAAGCAGTGCGATGATTATGTCTGTATTTTTCAGGCTGGAGGTGCAAAAAGCACCGGACCATTGGGTGAGCATAAGTTAAACATATTTTATAGTAAGTTATAACAAATGTCTTAATTTAACATCTTTTTTTTTTTTTTTCTTAAAAAATGTGGTGTAATATTTTTATTGAGATTCTGTAAATTTTTGTCTGTATTTTTCAGGCTGGAGGTGCAAAAAGCACCGGACCATTGGGTGAGCATAAGTTAAACATATTTTATAGTAAGTTATAACAAATGTCTTAATTTAACATCTTTTTTTTTTTTCTTAAAAAATGTGGTGTAATATTTTTATTGAGATTCTGTAAATTTACTTGTTTAGATTATGTTTAAGTTTTATTGTGATTCTGGTGTGCACTCGTCTCATTTAATTATAGCACTTATTACAATCAATTGAACAATAATTGCTAATTAAATAGTTAATGTTTGGAAAAAGAGTGAAATCTCAATTAATTTAAAATATTTAAATAACGTAAATATGCATACATTTTTTTAGCCACCTTTAAAAGCTTGGTGGCACTTCAGAGAAATGCTCCTAAAAATATTTTTTCTACCACTTTTGTTTTCTTATTTTAGCTGAGAAATTTGCTTATATGAGACAGTTCTTTCCTTATGATGTAAGTGTAATTTCCATTTATTTTTTGGGTGACTAATTTCAATTCTTGTATTATGTATTATTTACAACAACTTTGATACTATTTAAATTATTGTTTTGTAAAATTGAGTGAGGAATCATTAAAACAAGGACAGAAGTCTGATAAGACAAAACAACAAAAGAAAACACTTGCACTAATCAGAACAAAAATAGTCTAGTAATATGTCATGCCTGTTAAGGACTTGAATGTATATTGTTATATTGTGTTGTTTAGAGATTATATGTATTGTTTTATTTATTATTCTTAGTATCTTGTAATGTATTGTGTGAAAAGGGATATGACTATTATTTATTGTTGTGGAGTGTGGTCTTTGGGTACAGTAATTGAAGTTGAAGAAATAGTTTGTTAATAAAGATATCCTTCTTCTTCTTCTATATCTTAAGGGCCCACGATCAATTTATTGATCATTTTGGCTCCTATGTAGATGGGATTTGCAATGTTATATTATAATATAAGAATCATAGTTTGTGTAGTTATTAAAACCCCTAGAAAGAACGAAGCCTTTGAACCTTCGGGTTGACCGGGTTCGTAACAATGCCATATGCTATTTAGATAATGTATGGAAGTCTGTGAACTATTTTTATAATAGTGGCCTACCACTTTTCACTTCTAATGATATTGATTTATCAATTCTTCATTTATGGATAAGATTACAAATTTAGGTTAATGTTAAAATTTCCTCCACCATCACAAAAGTTTTTAGTTGTTCTTAAATCAGATCAAGCAACTGACTTGGAATCCAGTGCACACATCCAATGACCAGCAGTGCTTCTGTTACTGTGGTGGTCCAGGCATGTGAGTCATTTTCTTCATTTTAGTTGTGCTCAATTATTTTTTTTTTTGGAGTTCTTTATCTTTGTTTTAAAATTTTGCTTTAGCCCTAAACACTTAAATCAAGTTTTCAAAATTTTACATGAGACACCAAAAGCTCTAACAGCTAAAATAATTTAAAACATTTGTTTAGATCATGTCACAGAAAATGTGCTTTCCACAAATACAATTTTTAAAATTTCTTCATGACATGGGGAAGCCCTAGAAATTTATTTATATGAAAGGGAAAAAATTGGTCAAATTCGTTTTAAGAGGTAATAAGCGGCGATGAGTTAAAATTACTTGATCATTGATTCATTTTCATTGTTGTCTCTTAATTTTCTTGACTCTCATCAGAGCAATTTACAGAATAACTCTTAATCCTCTTTTTGGAGGTTAGTGTTATTTTGAGTGCTATGGTGGTATCCATACACATTTGTTTACTTTGATTTTTTTCTTCTTCTTTACAGTTGGTATAACAAAATGCTGCAGTGCTGTAGATGTCTCCAGTGGTTCCATGAAGGTATGTTAAGCTTATAGTTTTTGTAGAGACAGCAAACATCTATGGTTGGCTGGTTTAAATAAAATAGTTAACTCTGTAAAATCTCATCAGCTGGTCTGAGGTGGCAAATCGAGGTGCAATGGTAGCTGTTTGTAATGCTTGTGGTGTGTCACCAAGTGGCTGGGAAAAATTAAATTTTCAAGTCTGTAAGCTAGATAACTAGGTAAGGATGAAAAAATTGTGTACATAACATCACCAAAAAAAGCAGCCAACTTGGTATTTAATTCAATATTGGCTGCCTTTGCTATCCTGAGACATAACTGTTGAATAAAATTATGTACCGGTATTCAAAATTCAGCTTAGCTCGTATCATGAATGTAACCTTCAAGTGCTATTCTCACTAGAAGACTGTAGTTCTGGCAAAGGGCATCTTGCAAGCCTTGGTTTTGTTTTCATCTGAGACTGCTGTGCCATCAAATGCTAAACTGAGAAGGCTTTGGCGGCCATGGTCATTTAGGTTTTATGTCACAGTTCTTTGTCCTCGACTGGCTGCCGGTCAAGGCTGAAGAGCTCTGTCTACTTTTGTTTATAGTAAATCAGCCCTGGAACCCTACGAATCTGCACTATCTGGGAAGATGATTGATGGATTATCTAACAGAATAATAGTTATCACCAACCGTTATAAAAAATAATGTTCTAAATGTTTCTCAAGCTGTAAACAACTCTGAAATCACAGTAAATCAAAAGCTACTTTTTAGCTTGTTATGCTGAGCATATTTCAGATTGCCAGCTTAATTGAGGGACAGTATTCAATCCCTAAATATCCGTTCTTCTGCCTATTTTCTTACTTTCCAACTTTAACATTATATTTGAGATTCTCAGATGTACATGTTCCCACTCTTTAAAAATCTACCAATCATTACAATTTTACTATTCAAAAAATAATAGTTAGGAAGCATTGCAGTGGCCACAGGTTAGTTCTTCACCATAAACATGTACATGTTTTTAATAATTGTAAAGCGCTTAGAGCTTAAGGTAAGCGCTATATAAAAATGCCTAAATAAATAAATAAATATATCTGGCTAAATAATTCCAGATTCTTAACTAGGGTAAAAATTGAAAATAAAAGTATTACTTCTTTTTTTTTGTTTACTATTTTTATTTGTTTTAAATGTATATATTTATATATAATCTGAAGCCATTTCCATTTTTTTTGTTTTGTTTTTTTTGTTCATAGCCTGCATTCAGAGCGTCAAGGAAGAACTCCTCTTAGGTGACCGCTTCTTCATATTTGTATGCGCACACTGTAATGAAGGTCTGGAGTTTTTGCATCGTATGGATCTTGATTGGTAAGGCTTTAAAAATATGATGTAATGATAATCACAAAGCGCTGAAGATATACTCAGCCAGACTTTGTCAATTCTGAAATAATACCTTTTGCATTTTGTAAAACAATGCTTGCCAATGTGGACACTAATATTTCATCATCTGGGAAGAGAGTTACATAATGAATTCCTGTGTTTTTGCTAAAGAAACTTTAATTCTTGATCTTAAAGTACCATGAAAATGTTGCTTGAAAAAGCTGCAGATTGAAAATTAGACATTGTGACGGAAGAATTTTCTCATCACCATTCTTAAATGGTAACATTGCCTGGCTCTTGATCAGAAGGTGGTATGTTTGAATTTGTCTGGGGTTATTTCTCCAGCTATGAAGTTATAAAAAGACTTAAGAGTATTTCAAAAACTTACGGTACTTTGTCATTGTGATAGAAATGATGCTTATCAAACTATTTTATAATTATTAACTTTATAATTGTAAAATTTATTTCCCTTAAATTCAGCTCATATATCAGATTAAACTTTTTCCTGTGTTTTAAATTGGACTATATTTTAAAATGTGTGCATCTTACATATCTAAATATTTTGGTCAAAGGGAGCTGATTTGACAACCTATTTTTTCACATTTAGCAGACCTGTTTACTCTTACGATTTTGGAGTACAGTGTACGATTTTTTGGTGAATACATTATACATATTGTATGTTTATTTTTTTACTATTAAGATAATTTATTGAACGATTTGTAATGCTATTGTACGATTTTAAGAGTTTGAGGGTGAACAGGTCTGCATTTAGCCATTCATTAACAATTTTTCAATAAAGCTACCATTAAATTTTTTTAATGTATTATTTTCCTTTAGGTTTAACATTGCACACATCACTACATTTCACCTTGTCATGACAAATGGAACAACATATGCAGACTTAGACACAGATATCATTCCCTTTATAATGGATCGTGCTCAAAACTTTGGGGTGAAGAAATTGCTTAATGTAGGTTTTAAATATTATTTAAAAATTGTATTTGTAACAGCTTTCATACAGTGCTAAGTGCTTTTCATATAATTAATTATAAAAAAACTTTCACCTGTGAAATTTTCTTGATAATTTAAGTATGAGGTTATAAATAATAATTAGATATTAACCACCAACACCCCCCTTACACCTAAGACTTCCATGGTAAATGAAAGTGTTTAAATTTAATTTTCCGTCCTAAACAAATTTATGTCAATATAACTTTAAAGTACCGGTACATAAATATTGTTAGGTTGTTTTGTCTTGACTAAATAAGAGTTTATATACTAAGAAAAGAAAGTGGCTTAGAAAGGGGGTGCACAGGGAGGTTGTCTCTGGCCCTAATGGTACTTTTTTCTTAATACGGAGGGGCAGCATTTTTTGTCATCAGATGGGGGGGGGGGGCAATGCTTGACAGGCCTGTGGTAGCACTAACCCTAGCTACAGGACCGAGTATACATTAAACAGGCTTTAATTCTCTTTCATATATGTATATATGAAAGAGAATTATATATATATTGGGGGGGGGGGGGCAATGCTTGACAGGCCTGTGGTAGCACTAACCCTAGCTACAGGACCGAGTATACATTAAACAGGCTTTAATTCTCTTTCATATATGTATATATGAAAGAGAATTATATATATATATATATATATCTATATATATAAAAAATTTGTATAATCTTTGTTTGGAAAAACTTTTTACAGGGAATGCATGGAAATAAAGATGCTATGCGCTGCCACCTTATTAAAATTTTCAAGGAACATGGCAATATGTGAGTGTAATCTTTTTAATACTTTTTTTTCCTAGTTGGTGATTTTAAAAGCAAATTTTTGTTAGCTTCTCAGAACAATTTTATTCTTCATAAGTCAAATTTGGTAAAATGTACATTTCAGAAATTGGAACAGGTTCACATTTTTTGTCAACCCCACTGATCTACCTCAAGAATCAATTTTTTTAAAATAAATAAGTGATGTTTGAATTAATATTTTTCCCCATTGATATGTGAATTTTGGTGTTAACGCTTATCTGTCAGATTTCGCTGTGGATCAGAGGTAAAGAAGAGATGCACTTATTTTGGTGTCAGGCAGCGCACCCCTCCCAGTCCCCCGCCTATATCAGTTCCTGCTAGTGTTCAAATCAATATGGAAACAATGAAAGACTCTCTTGTAAAGAAAACAACATTTTTTCCTGGTAAATTGTAAGTAGTGACAAATGTGTTGTTTCAAATAAATTCTTACATAGCATTCTTTGTTATTTTTTATATTGAATTTTGAGTAATTTTAATGTATATTACTGTAATTTTAATGTATATTACTATTATTATAAAGTATTAATTATTTTTTTTGCTTAATATTTTACTACAAGCATTCGGTATGTCTTGTAGTTCAAGTGATATGTTATCTAAATGAATAATGCTAGGCATAAAACTATGTTAAATGCTGTCCCCAGCACACAAGCTGTGCCATATGCCAAAAAAGTTGACCCTCCAACAATGAGTGCAAGACTTAAAGAATCTAAACTAGCCAAAATTGCTCGAGTTGTAAGTCTTTGTTGATTAAATACTTTTTTTTTAAAAATATTTAAATACGATTGATTAGGTAAACTGTTTCCATGGCTAAATTAGGATATTATGAAATTCATTTTTTGATTACCTTCACTGGCAGTGAGCAATCAGCTGATGATGAAAAAATAACTTTAAACATTTAGTTACTCTAATCTTATTTACCTTAAGTAAAGGTTTAAGTTTTACTGGTTTTTAAACCATGCTGTGATCACAGAAGAAAAGAAGCTTATTTCACATATCTTTTTTGTTAAAAAATGTGATGAAATCAAATTTTTAAAAATACATTATCCTAGATATATTAAAATCATCTATACTTTAGGCTAACATTATCTCTTTCCTTAGAAATCAGAACACAACTACTGCACCCCTGTGAAATGTCCTGAAGATTCGCCCAACAGAAAGCCAAGGAGATCTCCCAGTTCAGATATCTTTGATGGCAATAACAATTCTCCGGCCAAGCAATCTCCACATAAACCAGACTTCAATGAGACTCTTTATGAACGAGAGGAAGTAGAATATGATCTAGCAAGCAAGAGCAATAAGTCAAGTTTACCATTCACACCAGAGAAACAGCCCCCAAAAGATCCATTTTGGTCTCTGGACATAGCATTTCCAGAACCTGTGAACTTTTTGGGGGCCAACCACCCATTTCTCATCGATTTCGAACAAGAAAATATACGCAAGAAAAGAAAGCACTTTGAGGAACAGTTGTCCCAACTGTCTGATGTGCTTTTTCCTGAAGAACAGGGCAGGCAAGATTTCAAAGGTGCAGTACCCATCACGTCTCCACCATCTTCCACAGCAAAAGACATTAAGGGCTTCAAAGGTGAGCTGGCTGATCTGATCAACTCCTCGACAACATCAAATGTTAATACCCCCAAGAAACGAAGAAGATCACCAAGTGAAAGTGAACAGTTTTCGGAAAAACACCCCAAAACAAGCCCGTCGCAAAATGGGATTTCCCCAAAAAGATATCCATCCTCGTCCAGGACATCGAGTGTTTCCCCTCGTTGCATAAATGGTGTTTCTCCAGTTGGCAAATCCCACTTAAGAAATGGCTTTACTCACTCATCTCCGTCAACAAAAGGCCTTTGCGAAACAGATAAAGAAGCTGCAAAAAAGTTAAAGGCTTTAAATAAGTGCCTTAAGAATCTTTCACCCACCTGCGGGTTCCACTTCCCAGTGTTGGAGGAAAGTCATCCCTCCGCGGTAAGCAGCATCGCCATACTGTGGAACAGTACCCAAGCATTGGAGAGTCTCTCTACACCAGCTGCTTCATCACAATCATCACGGCACCCTAAATCCAACAGTCCTTTAAAGAAAAAAAATAAGAGGAAAAGAAAGAGTGTAGAAAACCATCCAGATAAGGTGGATGAGGATATATTTAGTCAAAATGAAGAAAGCTTACGACGCAGCCATCGCAGCCGACACACTGTCAAGAGGTTTGAGGCTTCGCTGAGCAATAAAAGCTATGAATTATTTGAGACCATGAGCACAACTGCCACAGAACGTATTTCTGGTGATCAGTATGAAGTAATTTCCCTAAGGATAAAACCTGACGATGAGGTGGTTGAATATTTGGTGAACTGGTCTTAACAAATTGAGACATTAGTTTTTATATATTTATTGTTTGTTATTGAACATGGATGTTGTGTTAAAATACAGCTGAGATGGTCTAGAATAACTCAAAGATTTGACTTTCCCTATTTTTTAGGGGAGCGCCTGCTTGTCTGAAAGTATTGACATTTATTTAAAGATCACAACTCTACAGAAGCAAACAAGTGTTCATGTCTGTTGGTCACATCTCAGATAACTATGAGATTTGCTGTGTCCTTAGAACTAAGGTTTGCTGTGTCCTTAGAACTAAGGTTTGCTGTATCCTGTGGTGACGTTAGTTCTGAACAGTGGTGTAACTTAGCCTGCAAAGAGGGGGTTTTGAAAGATGTTCCTGGAATATATAAGAAAACATCATTGCTTCTTCCCACAGATGGACACCACTTTCGTTCTTACATTGAGTAATTAAATGGCAAGTGACAAATTCAAAAATATACATTTGTAAATGTGAAAGAGGTATGTTTGGTGGTTGATCTGGATCATTGACTCTCAGTGTGGAATGTTGATCTGGATCATTGACTCTCAGTACGGGATTTTGATCTTTGAAACAAACATAAATACTTCTCACAATAGAAGCAGACTGCTTACGAAGATTGGTGTGTAATTAAGAATTAACAGATTTCCATTTTGTAGTTATGTTAAGGATATTATTTGTAGGTTTTTACAAAATGATGTGAGAATTCAAATCTTTTTATTTTGTTTAATTAAAACCTTTCAAAAAAATTATTATTTTTTAAATGAAATATTTATACATGTGGCCTTCCTAGTTAATTACATTGAAAGCACAGGAACTTTTGACAGTATTTAACCCTTTACAGTCCGATGCGCCTGAAATGCCCCGATTTTTTCCTTAAGCCTACGGTCCGTTGCGGCCAAACCTGCCCGTTTCGAGGTTGTTTACTTTCATTCTTAGCACAGCGGAAATCCATTGCGCATTACTATTTATAGTTCTACCGGAAGAAAGCCTTGTTGTCGGCATTTATTTTGATACTAGTTTGACCGCGGTGTGTTTAGGGGCTGATTTTCTATGATTTTTTTAAAAGTCGCGATTTTTTTCGCTGTAAAAAATGGCTATCTAAGCCTTGGATACACTTTTGAAAGAACTTAGGCCTAATGAAGCCTCACTATTTCATGAGTGGGAGGGTCTCTGAAACTATTTTTAGGTTTAACTTTTGCTTTAATCATTTCTTTGTATTTAGATATATTTTATTTTCTTGCTTCTAGTTTATTTTCTGTAAATTAAATTAATTAGCTAAAGAACCTTCATTTAAAATGGAGCTATGTCCCTTTGCTTGGGTGCTGGGAGTAGAGAAGGCTAAATAGGCTTGGACTGTAAAGGGCTAATTAAAGCGACTAAATCATGAGAATTATTTTAAAATAAACACTTGGATTTGACTAACCTTTGGTCCATTCATTTCTTAAATAAATTTACTACTACCAAACACAAGTTAAAAAAAAAACTGTTGGCCAGACTAAACAGACATCGGATATGATTCTGCTGTGGCGTGCAAGCAGCAGTTATCATTGTGCCAAGAAACTATTGTTTTCTCTAGAAACATTTAGCTGGGTGTTCTTGATAGCTTGACATATCACGAGGAGTCAGCCCTAACCAAATATTAATATGAAAAGGAGACTTGACTTTTACAATGTTTTATGTCAAATATACTGACTTGTATTGTTGGGGATTAACTTGATGTTCAATTGTTGCAAGATCAATTGTATTCACTGTACAGATTTTCTATATTAAAAAGGAAAGTCTAAAAATGGCATAGATCTTGATTTTTATATAGGCAATATTAATTAATTCATAACTGGTGATGATATATTTTTGCATTTGAGTCATTTGATAGTTAATGTAATTTCTCTCAATTTGAATTCCATAAATTTAATTAAGTTTTGAATTTCTTATTGTGACATTGCTTTGTTACTGTAACTTTAGTTACGGTATTTAATTTTTTTTTTACGAACTACCAATTCAATAATGGCTTGTTGTTGCATGCTCAAAAAATAATTTTGAATCTAAATGAATATAATTTTCATATATTCTTGTGATCAACCATTTGGCCATAATAACTAGTGATTTCTAAATAAGTTCTAAAAATTGTTGATGTATAATTTTTGTTAAACATGCCACAAGTTTGTATTGTGTGAACTAATGTGAGCTACAGTAAGTTTAATGTGTATACAGGGGCACATTTCACATTACTGTAAACATTCCCTTCTATAAGGTCATGTATTTAACTTTTGCTTTCTTTGCCTGTGTTCTGCCCTTTGTTAATTAGGCCCATTAAGCTCTCATAGTGTTGCATACTTTTTTTGTTTTTCACCGTTTTTCTTTAGTGGTGTCCAATTAGAGGGGGGGGGGGGGATTGTTGGTGACCCTTCGAAGTCTAGGAAAGGGCGTACTCTTCCTAAAGAGGGTCTGAAAAGCTTAAACACTATACATGACTATATTGCATCAATGACCAGTGAGAAAGGATAGGGGTAAGATGGGGTACCGATAACAAAAAAAATTCCACATGATTATAACTTGTTAATGAATTTGTTTAAAGTGGCACATGCTTTATTATGAAAAATCAAAATTTCAATAGTTCTTTGGCTTTTTTCCCCAGCTTAAACAAATACATGTTTGATATTTCAGATTTCCTTCTTTCTTTAACGCCTCAGTACAACTATTAGTAGTATTAGTGAGCCTCTCTTGTTTTTAAATCCTTTATTTATACCGGGTACCAGTAACTTTGCTTTTTTTCATGGCTGGCAAAATCTTCGGGTGGCTAATTGACCAACTTCCTGGCTAATTGAGATTCTTTTAAAATAAATATCACAAGTTTGTAACATCTTCTTTTGTTTATCTGAAATAGTTGGTGGAATAAATCTGCACTGTGAAAGCGGATGGGCCATTAAAATAGTAATATATTTCAGAGGCATGAATAAATGTGTGATTGCAAGCCTTGAAGAGTGGGGGGCACTAGATTGGGATTCTTATAAAGTGTGTTACTTGTATGCATGTTTTGTTTGAATTTTCAGCCCCATCCTCCATTGCTCGATATTTAATTTTAGGATTTATAATTTATACAAAAAAGTTTCTTTTTTTTTTGGGTGGGAGTTGTTTAATTTTTATTGCTTTTATTTTCTTAATTAACACAACATTGAAGAGTTCTTTCATGTTCTACTTATTTAGTGATCTTTGTGTGCCTTCGATTATTTTCTTGATCTGAAAATTAAACTGTTGACTAAATAAGATGTCACCAGAACTGACTTCCACAGGTTGCTCTCCATAATCTAACGTCACAATTTGATTAAAGTAAAAATCAACTTCCTTGCCCATAATTAACCTGCACCCAAAATACTGCTTCATAATTTTCATGTCATTCATTGATTGCTTTAGCCTTTTAAGCTTCTGCATTTGTTTTAGATTTTAAGAACTCTGTTACGTGCCATTGACTTGTGTTCCTCCTGGGCAGGGGGGTTAGATAGAGAACACTGCTGCAGTGAGGTGTGGTACAGATTGTCCATTTAAAACTTGTGATTGATTCATTTGTAAAACTATTTATCAGCATTGGATTTTGTGTGTGTGTATACATATATATATACCTGTATATTGTAAATTCCTGTGTATTTTTAACTATGTACCAGTACATGCCTAAATGAAAACATGAATAACTGGGGGAAGATAAGGAAAGTTTTATACTTTTTAAACCACTTTTATGCAGAAATTAATAAATATTATTATGAATTTGGATATCATAGTGTAGTTATGTTTGTCAACACAATTAATTTTAAGAGAAGAAAGAATAATTTTTATTTAGAAAAACGTAATTTATTTATATTTTGATCTTCACTACCGGTAATAAAATTCTTCTGTACCAGTGGTAGTACCAGTATTCATTTAATGCAGTGACTGGGTGAAATTTACAAAACCCTTAGGTGTTCAATTAAAACCATTTGGCTTAAGAAATTTGTGAGTTTTAATATTCTTTTTTAAAAAATGAACCTTCTTTTCATATAGTGCAAAAAATTAACTTTTTAGAAGAAAAAAAACTTGTTCCATCCCAGTTATTGTTAGCAACCAAACAGCTCCTTGCGTTTTGGGATTTTTAAAAATTGCATGTTTTTAATTAATTTTTTTTTTTTCCAAATTCAATTAGTAACGGATTTTTTAACTGAACTTTGTGCACAAAAGCAATAAATTTAAACTTGAACTTAACATTGAAGGAAATGTAGAAATCTTTCTAGATATACCTGTTTAGGAAGTGCTAAATTTAAAGCAAGGAGTATTCATTGTGCACTTTGTATTTGTACCACTGAGAGTAATGCAATGTTGCTGTTTGTTTGTTATCTTGAGAGCACGTTGAACTGAGAGCTTGACAGCTTGATTTGAGTCCTTCTGTGTATTCTTTGGTTGTTGTTTTCCGGTGAGTAGAGCTGTATGCAATGTCCTAAGTTATTAAGTGATACATTTTTTAAAAATAGTGCCACATGATGCCAGAAATATCATCCGTGATTGATGTACACATTTTTTTTTTTAAAGTTTGCCCAATCTGCTATAAAAATTCTGCTGGGACTGTAAAACCAGAGATGAGTTCAATGACAAGTCACTTTATTCTGTCCCAAACTGTATGATCAATTTTTGAGATGTTACTGAAAATTAAGCCGCTTGAACCTACAGTAACTCAAAAAGTCTCCATATACACAATGCTATCAAAAAGCCCTATAAGTCACATGTGGATTTGTTATCCTAAATCAGCGGTTCTCAACCTGTGGGTCACGGCCCCTTTGAGGGTTGCACGACTCTTTCCCAGGGGTCGCCTATCTGAAAACACATATACTCAACAGTTGTGAATTCGCAACGATAATAATTGTGGCTAAGGGTCGCAGCATTGGGAAGGTTGAGAACCACTGTCCTATATGGATAAAGATAAAACTAATTGAAGGATATTAAAAGTTATGTTTTAAAATTAATTAAAAGATATATTCTCTATAAATCCCCTTGGTTGGAGGGTTGAATTTATTCCTATGAAGTGTTTGCTGTTGAATTGTGTTTTTTTATACTTATACACATGAGTTCATAATAACATAGGATATAATTTGTTGGTATGCAAAAACAAAGGTTAGACTTTCAGTGGTTGCATTTGCAAGGATCTGTTAAAAGTGTGAGACTGATATAGACAAAATTCAAGTGTTCATGCATCATCTCTGTGTGACTGTGATGAAACAACATGCAAACTATGTCCTATAAAGTCATAGGGCACAGACAGTAGTTTTCATTTTTACTGTACTGATAAAATATATAGACAGAGGAGGTCGGATATTAATTTTATTTCCCCAACTAAGAATGTCACCTCCAGAAAATTGTCACCATTAAGATGTGAATCCTCATTACTTACTGGAAGTGTTTTGTATAAATTATTGTTAAGTTCATGAACTATGTTCTAGATATGGATGGATGGATGGATAGATGGATGGATGGATGGATGGGGGAGGGGGTGTGTTGAATTTCCTTTATTATTTTTTATAGCTTTTTATTAGTTATTAATTAAGAGGATATGATCGAGTTATTTTCTCTCTCTACTTACAGTACTTATTTTAATATATTGCTATCCCCTGAAAAATTAATTCAATGTATTAGTTTGTTTGACATTTGTGTATGCACTACTTGAACTTGAACACTTTCTTTTCAACTTGGTTTTTTTTTTCCTTTCTTTATTTTTTTTTAAATTTAAATTATTAATAATTATATTTTTATATTTAAAATTTCTTATTCATATTATATGATGTAAATTTTTTAGGACATGCATTTTTAGGACATGCAAAAATATAAACCATGTATTTATTTTACATAAGTTAAGTATGAGATTCCACATTAAGTCTGTCATTAGCTGATATTCGTGGAGTTAGAGACTGATGATAATAATTGTGTTGAACATTTTTTTTTATGAAATAAAAGAATGCAAATACAAGCTGAACATTTTTTTTTAATTATCATTACAAAACTGTTTGTTGCCCTTTGTTTCTCTATACAGTTGTGCTCATCTTTGGATAACTTGTGTTGTAAAGGTCAACAATACTTATGATTTTTATAAATAAATAAAACTGGGTAAATTTACATAAAAGTAACCTATTATTAAAAAAAAAAAAAATTGTTTTGAATCTTCCAGAAGATCAGTATTTGATCCCATCTGCTAAAAACTGGCTGTCTTGTTTACACTTGATCCAGATATCTTAAAAATGAAATATCCTATTCTAGGGGTTTGCCTGTATGAGTACGTCTGTGGACACCTTGAGGATTGGTGAAAAGGTTCCATGGGGTCTCGGACCTCCATGACCATGTAATTTTATATGCATTTAAAAAGTTAATTTTTAGTACCGTAAGGACCGTAAATAAAGTAAATGCAGACAATAGGTGCCATGAAGTATCACATGGTTGCCAGGATCCGTGAACTTTTATAATTCACCTAACCTTAATGTATCCCCAAACCTAGCCTGAACCCTAAATGAAAATGTATCCCTGAACCCTAAATGTATCCCTAAACCTAGCCTGAACCCTAAATAAATCATCAAATGTATCCCTAAACCTAACCTGAACCCTAAATAAATCATCAAATGTATCCCTAAACCTAACCTGAACCCTAAATAAATCATCAAATGTATCCCTAAACCTAGCCTGAACCCTAAAAAAATCATCAAATGTATACCTAACCTGAACCCTAAATGTATCCCTAATGGCACCAATTCTCTCCATTAGCCTTAATAAGTGTTCCATAGAACTGGAACAAAAAAAGGCTTAAACCCAAGCCTATTCATTTTAAACATCTATATTCACTTGAACATTATTTGTGACCAAAAGCATGCAGGCCGCGCGCCCCCCTTCTACAACCCCCCCCCCCCCACCCATTTATCAGCTGCTTATATTTTTCTGTCCACACAAATCTCAATCCAGATTAGAAGTATAGAAGATTAATGGTAATTTGAACACAGAATGCAACTGGGAAGATAAATTATTATAGATCAAGGAGAATAGATGATATGGACATGGAGAAGAATGGTCATACAATAGGCTGTTGTGTCATTCATTTTTTTTTAATGAAAATTTCAAAACTTTTTTTTCTAATTGCCTCTAAAAATGGTCTTCAAACATGGGCGCCCGCAGGTGGGGCAAGGGGGGGGGGCACTCCCCCCCCCCCCCCCCCCTGGTGGGGGAAAAAAAAATTAAAAAAAAAAAAAAA